CCCACCCCTGTCCCTAATGCCTGGCAACCACTAATCTGTTCTCTAGTTCCATAATTTTTTCATTTTAATAATGTTATTTAAATGGATCCTTAGACTTAACTTTTTTGATTTAGCTTTTTTTAAATTTAACTTTTTTATTCTCTTGAGATTATCTCTTCAGATTAATATTATTTCCTGGAGATTGATACAACTTGTTCTTTTTGATTATTAAGTGGTATTCCATTAAAATCTATTGTGATTTTTAGTTTTTACACACACATAAAATGTGAAGCAGTAATGCAAAATATCAGTTTAAAAGCTGTTTAAGACGTTGAAACTAACATTAATTAAAATTACTTTTTTTTGGGTCATTTTAGTCATTTGGATTGGATTTGTCTATGGCTTAATATGCTAAGACTGGATAAATCATTACCTGTGTACTGAACGTATAGTTCCAGTGGGAACATTTTCTTTTCTAACTCATTTTAATAAAAACTGCAAAATTGGAGACACACAGGAAGTCCTTGTTCTGATTCCAGCAGATTTGCTATTTCGTTTTTTCTTTGCTTTTACAGCCTGTTATTACCCACCTCTCTTCGTATAGCCTATTGTTACCTAAGCAATTCTTCTTCCCCTTGTGCCTTTGTTTGCTTTTTCAACTAAATGATTAAGTGTCTTAACTTCTAGCTGACTAAAATACTTCTTTCCTCCTTCCTCCCCAAGTTCACTTACCCTTTCTCTGCCCTGAAAGAAAGGCATAAGATGATGAGTACCAAGAATGAAAGTATTTGGCTTCATCTGAGAGGCCAGAGAAGGCTTCCCTAAGGAGGATACATTTAAGCGGAAATCTGATGAATAAATAGGAGTCAACTAGAAGAGGAGGAAGAAATAGCATTTCAAACAGAGGAAAGAAAGGGCATAGGCAAGGACCCTGTGGTGGGAAGGAGCAAAGCCAGCAGGAGGAACTGGAATCAAGCCAAGTGGAGAATGGGCTGAAAGAACCAAGGGAGTATATGGTATGAAATCAGACTGGAGAGGGAGGCAGAGTTCAGACCTTATAGAGCTTTTCAGACTATATTTAATAAAGATCATTGCTTATTCTAAGACAAAGGAGAAACCAATAAAAGGTTTTAAGCCTGAAGTTGACTTGACCAGATTTGCAATCGGTTAAGATCTTTCTGACTGCAGTGTAGATGGTGCTTCGGGATAAAGGGTGGAAGTGTGTTGACTGGTTACAGTCCACTTTAGTGATGCGCACTGGAGAGGATGGAGCTTGGGGTAAAGTGATAGGGGTGCAGTTATAGAAAAGAGGTTTAATCCTTAAATCTCAATAGATATGTTGTATTAGAAGTGGGAGGGGAAAGACAACCGTATCAAAAATAACTGCTTGATTTCTGATTACAGCATTTAGACAGCGAGGGAATTCCAGAAGCGGATCACATTTTGGGAACATTATACATTTCATTCTAGAGGTGGAGCATTTCAGATGGCTTTGAGACACACAAGAGGAAACGTCAAATAGTCATAATGACAACAGCTAATATTTTTTAGCATTTGAAGTTATTACAGCATTTTTTAAGCTGGGGACATGGAAACACAGAAATGTTAAGAGACTTGTCCAATGTCAGACAGTTAGTGGAAGAAAAGGGATTTGAATCTAGGTAGATACACCTCCAGAGCCCATGTACCTTACCACTCTGTATGCTGCCTGTGTAGACAGATATGGGCCTACAGATAAGTAGATCGTGTAGCTCATAGAAGGAGTCTGGACTAGAGATTAAAAGTACAGAGCAAAAAAGTTCACTTTTATTTATGTGCCTGTGAAATGGATGAGATATCCTAGGGAGAGAATATAAAGTGAGACATGATGTTACCTTGAGGCTCTTCAGCATTCAGTGGCCAAGGATAGCAAGACAGGCAGAAGGAGAGGCCAGGGGCTTCTGCTTGATATAAAGTAAGAGAAAAGGGGGATGTTAAGAAGGAGATAATGAACAGTGGTGATTTTACTGCTAACATGTCCAGTAAGATGAGGACTGAACGGCATCTGTGGGTGACTTTGACAGAAGGGTCTTGGAGGAGTGGTGTAGTGGGGCTCAAGCACATATTGGGGGTGATAGGAGATGAGGACATGAAGTTAGAACGTTTAGGTAACTCCAGAGAAATTTATTTGAAGCAGGAAGTGTCTGGATAGGCCTGTGAGCTATAGCTGGAGGGAGATATGGGGCCAAATGGTTTTGTTTTGCTGGAAGAGACTAGAGTTTGTTAAACAAGCAGTGCAAAAGATCTGCATAGGAAGAGGTTGAATATATAAGCAAGAGAAGGAATAGTATTTTCATGTTGTTGGGAAGAATGGAATTGGGCATAGGCAGAGGGTCTGGCATTTGGAAGGAGGGGCACCACTTCGTTGTGTCAGGTCCGGAGTAGGAAGGACCGGAGCCACTTTGGTAGGTTGTATGTGATACCAGGAAGGAACGTGATTCTCCATTGGAAACCTTCTGTTTCCTTCGGAAAATGGAGGTGAAATGATGTACAGAGAGCATGAAGAGGAGAATAGTACTGAAGGTTTGAGGAGTTAAGGAGTGCAGGTTTAGTGTCAGGCATCAAAGAGGCTGGCTCCAAAAATAATCTGGACGGTGAGTTTTCTAGTTGACCACAACCTTTTCTGAGCAGTTGCAGAATTTGAGGAGATGAGAATGTGTAGGACCCAGAGAAGGACAAGCTGCTGTAAATGCAGTTTCTGTATTGTGTGTCCATTTCTCCCGGGAGTAAGGTCAATATTGAAGCTGAGAAGGAGACGGGAGGCACGAGATGTTCTGTGAAAATTTTTAAACACATTTTTTAAAGCAATCATTTGTAGTAATTTAAATTATTTTATTGAAAGAGTCTCTGACACATCACATGTTATCTTATGTTTTACTTATTTTAGAAAACAGTTTATTCACCAGCAAGGCTCTACAACTAGCTTTTTAAGGACAGGGCTGCTAGCTCACTAAGCAAGCTGCTGAGGAGTCTGTGTCCCACAGGTGTTCACTAAATGAATGGTGAGGAAAGCACTAGATACTGCAACTCTGCTGGTACTATGGGTACGTTTTATTTGGCCAAGGGATTTTTTTACTTTATATTTTTTTGTAAACCTACTAAGTAGATCTCCATTTGAAATTATAATGATCTCCATTTTCTTTTTAACATGCCGAGAGAGTGATTTAGCTTTAATTTTAACTATTAATTTAGATTGGCTTAGAAACAACAGAATGTTTACACAAAAATTCTAAAGAACATACTAAGAAATATTTTATTTTTACCATAGGTAAAAGGATGATAAATTTCTCTAACTATAGGTGGCTTTTTTTTTTTTTTTGGCCAATATACAAATAAAGATTCGTCTAAAGCAGTGGTTCTCCAAAGAGTGTGGTATGTCAATACTAATGTATAAAGTTGCTTTCTGCCCCTCTGCAAGATTATGTCTCTGTTCTTCATGCTGCCAAGCCCCTGCTCAGACTCTCTTCTTACTGACTAGATTGTCTTCTGCTCCAGTCAGATTTTGAAGTGTTCGCATTTTTTCCTACTGTATCTTTGCCTCCTTGTCCATCTATGGCTATAGGAAGCTTATCCTGCAAGTGGAGGCAAAGATGTTCTGAGATTGCCACATTCTTCTGGACACAGACTGGAGGAGGACTGTAGGAGGAGGAATGTAAGCATTTGCTGAAACATAGTACTCTTTTCTGTTTCTGAGCACCTGTCTGTTACTGCCATCATCAACCCTAATTTCTCCGTCTTTTTCAGGGTACCTTGCTTGCTCCAATCTGTGATCACTTTAAACATGGTCTTTTCTCTCCCCTGTACCTATAGTCTCAGGTGAATCTTCTTCCCCACTCCCACACAAAGTAATTGAACTCTTAACACCCTAGGAAAACCTGAAGTCTTTCTGCAGCCAACCTTTCCTGGACAAGGGCAAAGAGCTTCAGGAACTTTCTTTTCAACAAGTGCCCAGTTGAACCTAGGGAGCCTCAGTCCTCAGGAACTAATGTGAAAGAAGATCTAGCGAGACAAACTGTGGAAAGAATACATTTACCTGCCATGACCTTTACGTTAGTTGTGAGGATAGTTCAAAAGTCTCTTTGCTTCACTATACGTACCCCACTTGTATTGATATGTTGTGATATGGTCATCAAAATTGGAAGAAGGCATAGCATACCAGCTTGAAAGAATATTTTTACATTCTGGGGTTGCCATATGACTGGGTAAGCCACAGCTGCTTCTAAAACACCTTTGCCGTACTCAACTTTTTCTGATTTAATTAGATTATATAGTTAGTGTCATTAATTTGGGATAAGAGCACCTTTCTGTCATTACTACTGTCCCTCACAAGTTTGAAAATGATTTACCATGCAGTATTAAAAAGTAAAATGCTTTTATTACTTTCATCAAGAGGCAATATGATACAAAGGTAGCTGTTTAGGATGAAGATGAAAAAGAGTGAGTAGGAAAAGAAAATTTAAAAGTTATTTCCTGAAATTTGTTATTTCTGGCACTAATTTTGGATATTGGGTTCTATATTTTAGACGGTAAAATCTCCAGTGAGAACGAGGAGTTCTGTGTTTTATTCAATTAGAAAGTTTTGATGTATTTGGAGAGTCTTGTAATTTTCCTATTGTCCAAGTAAAAATAGCCAGGATTCCATAGTAGAAGCTTATGGAGAATATGTGTGAAGGTGCTGAGTGCTGATTATAATAATCAGAAACAAAAGTAAAGCATTTCTTTGGTTTTGTAACTTCATATAATTCAATAGTTAGTATTTAAGTCATAGTCATGTATATATATTTTTTAAAATCTTAGTACTTGACTAAACTGGCGAACTTTCATATTGTACAGTACAATAAGGCAAATACCTTTGTGAATTTTGCATAAGATCCTAAATATTGTGTTTTTTTCAAAAAATGTAGATGTGGCTTAACAATATGCTATTAATACTGTTTTGTTGTTTTCTCTTAAAGGTTTAAAATTCCTGTTTTCTTTTTTAGGTGTGTTGAAGAAAGTATGCACATCTTATCTTCTGAACATTTTGATGGAATTAACCACAAATTTTGTGCAAAAATAGAAAAAGGTATTTTGTTAAATAATTTTTGCATATTGATGTAGTTGTCTTAATTTCTAGATTTGCCTCACAAGGACTATCTTAAATCAACTGCAGTGGATACTACTTCACAGAGTTTATTTTGTAAGAGAAGTTTCTTAATCATAAAATTCATTTCTTCTGTACCAAGTCATAATATTTCTTTCAGAAAGTGCTTGCATAGACTGAATTTCAGTTGTTTGAAATAACATCATTTATTTTCACTGTGCACTTGTACATATTTTTATTTGCAGAGTACATAGTAGTCATGTATTTAGAACATGCCCAGGAAATTAATCAGGAAAGATAAGACAGCTGCTTTCATTTCTTACTTTGCTTTCCTTGGAGTTCTTCAGAATAGATGTGTTTAAGAGCAAATCCAAAGTGAGCATCTTACTGTGCATGCCTCTTACCATTAGGATGATATTAAATGGCATGCTGAGCCCTTGAAAAGGTAAGCAAGCACCCTCTTGAAAACGCCAGAATAGCCTGGGCTCCATTCCCAGATCCACCACTGTAAGCCATATAGACCTAACGGACATCTGTAGAATACTCCACTTACAGAACAGAGCACACATTTAAGTGCATATGGAACACTCTTCAGGATAGATCATTAGGACATAAAATTAGCCTCAATACATATAAAAAGGATATTTCAGTCCATTTGTATCATTTCAGATATAAAAAGTATGTTCTTGATTACTATAGAATACAATTAGAACTAAGTAATAAAGGGAAATTTGAGAAATGAACAAATATGTGGAAATTAAATGATATACTCTTAATTTGGGAAATGCACAAATATGTGGAAATTAAATAAGGCACTTCTAAATAATCAGAGTCAAAGAAGAAATCACAAGGAAAATTAGAAACTATCTTGAGGTAAATTAAACTAAAGTATTACATACCAAAATTTACGGACTGCAACTTAAAAAAGCAGTGTTTAGAGAAATTTATAGCTATAAATGCTTATTTAAAAAACAACAAAAAAGAAAGATCTCAAATTGATAACCCAACTTTTCATCTTAAGAACTAGAAAAAGAAAAGCAAACTAAACCTAAACAAGCAGAAGAAAGAAAATAATAAAGATGAAATTGCAAATAAATGAAATAAAGAATAAAAAACAATAGAGAAAATCAATAAAAGCAAAAGTTGGTTCTTTGAAAGATTAGCAAAATTGATGAACCTTTAGCTAGACTAACCAGGAAAAAAGAACAATTAAGTACTAAAATTAGCAAAGAAAGAGGGGTTATCACTACTGACTCTATAGAAATATAAAAAAGGTTTTAAAGGAATACTCAGAATAATTAGATGAAAGGGATTAATTCCAAAAAGACAAAAACTACCAAAATGGAGTCAAGAAGACAGAGAAAACATGAACCTATAAGAAGTTAAGTCATCGAATTACTATTTTAAAAATTTCTCCTCTCACACACACAGAAACCCAGGCCCAAATGTCCTCACTGTGAATTCTACCAAAAATTTTGAAAATAATTAACACCAATCCTTCACAGACTTCTCCAAAAAATGCAGGAGGAGAGAATACTTCCTGACTGATTCTGTAGGGCCAGTGTATTACCCTGATAAAATGGACAAGACAACAACAACACAAGAAAACTGAAGAATATCTTTGGTCTATAGTTGTGATATAAAAATTCTCAACTACTGGAAAATTAAATCTAGTGCATATGAAAAGCATTAAAACCAAGACCAAATGGGATAAATGTCAGGAATGCAAGATTGGTTTGACATATGAAAATCAATGTTGACATCACATTAATAGAGTAGAGAACAGAAGTCACATGAATATCTTAATAGACACAGAAAAAGCATTTGACAAAATCGAAGTCCCTTTTATCAAACAAACACTCAGCAAACTAGGAATAGAAGAGAACTTCCTCACCCTGATAAAGAGAATCTACAAAAGCTACGCAGCTAGCATCATACTTGATGAAAAACTGAAAGCTTGCCCTCTAAGATCAGGAACAAAACAAGAATGTGTTATCTTACTGTTTCTATTTAATATCATACTGGAGGTTCTAAGTGGGATAGTTAGGTAAGAAACAGAAAAGCATCCAGATTGGAAAGGCAGAAGTAAAAGGTTCTCTATTTGTAGATGACATCGTATATGTAAAGAAAATCTTAAGGAATTCACCAAAAAACTACTAGAACTAATAAGCGAATTCAGCAAGATTGAAAAATACAAGATCAGTATAAAGATCAATTGTATTTATATACATTACCAATGAACATTATGGAAATTAAGAAATAAAGCTGAAAATTAAGAAAACAATTACATTTGCAGTAGCATCAAACAGAATAAATACTCAGAAATAAGGATTTACATAATAAACAAAAGAAGTGCAAGACTTGCACATGAAAAACTAAAAAATACTGTGAAAAGTTGAAGACCTAAATAAGTGGAAAGACATCTGTGTTTTTGAATTAGAAAACTCACATTGTTAGAATGGTAATACACCCGAAATTCTTTTAGTTTCAGTGCAGTCTCTATGATAATTTCAGCTGCCTCTTTTGTAGAAATTGACAAGCTGACCCTAAAATTCATATGGAAATGCAAGGAATCCAAATAATATTAGCCAAAGTAGTATTGAAAAAGAAAAGCAAAATTAGAAAACTCCCCATTCTCAATTTCAAGACTTACTACAAAGCTGTAATAATTAGCAGTGTGGTACTGGCAGAAGGATGGACATAAAGATCAATGGAATAGAATTAAGGGTCTAAACATAAACTGTTACATCCATAGGTACACTGATACTCAAAAAGGGTACTGAGACAATTCAATAGTCTTTTCAGCCAGTGGTCTTGGGACAACCAGATATCCTTACACAGTATGTAAAAATTAACTTTTTCAAAAGGGTTCAAAGACCTAAATGTAAAAGGTAAAAACAATATAAAACTCTTAGAGGAAAACATAGACTGAAATCTTGTGTTAGGCAGTGGTTTTCTTAGATTGATACCCAAAGTATAAGCAACAAAAGAAAACTATGTAAGTTAGACTACACTAAAATTAAAAACTTACATTTCAAAGGTTACCATCAAGAAAGTGAAAAGACTGCCCACAGAATGGGAGAAAATATCTGCAAAGCATGTATCCGATAAGGAACTTGTATCAAGCATATATAAAGAACCCTTACAACTCAACAATAAAAATAACCCAATTAAAACTGGTCAAAGAAATTGAATAGACATTTTTCCAAAGAAGATCTGCAAATCGCCAATGAGCACATGAAAAGATACTCAGCATCGTTAGTCATTAGGGAATAGCTGCAATGGGATACCGCTTCATGCCTTTTGGGATGGCTATAATTTAAAAATGGACAAAACCAAGTATTAGGATATGTTGACGTTGGAAACGCCTTACATTACTGGTGGGAATGTAAATGGAAAACTTCTCTGAAAAACAATCTGGGAAATCCTCAAAAGGTTAATCATAGAGTTATTCTAAGACCCAGCCTGTATTTATATTGAAAACCTATTCCATTCCTATGTGTAACATTGTAAAGGGGTAAATGTTACAGTATGGGAAGTATGCCACAAATTGCTCCTCCTGTGTGGTCTGTTACTGTGCCAGATGCTTAGGATACCATATGAACACAAAGGGATGTGAACCCTACCCTCTAGAGCTTCTTGTCTGTTAGGAGCATGAGGCATTACAATTGTGGTAAGCACCGTCAGGGAGAGATACAGGGGCCACTAAGACTATTAACCAGGGATATTTTAACCGAGGTCAGGGACAGTTATTTTAAGGAGATAATATTGCCTTGATATCCAAAGGATGAATCCAAGTTATCAAGGCAAAAATGGCATTAGAAAAGAGGGATTACAGGAAGGGGGCAGGGGTGGGCAGCATGTGTAAAGATTCTGTCCAGAGAGTCACAGGGTGTTCAGGAAATGGAAGGAGGGTCCGCGTGACTGAGACAAAGAAAGTGATGGGGCGGAGAAGAAGGTCCAGACCAGACTGCGAAACCTCATCAATGTGTTACCACTTTGAAAGGTTTTCAGTCTGGGGAGACACATTCTAATTTGTGTTTTGAAAACATCACTGTGGCTGTGTCAGTTAGAAAAGGGGCAGGAGTAGAAGTAGAAGGGACCAGTGGAGAGTACTCATGGTCTAGTCAAGGACTGATAGAGCAACTTGCACCAGACATTTGGCAGTGGAAACAAGGAAACGGGGACATATCCAAAGCCTTTTTAGAAGATAACATGGATACTATTTGGTGAAAGCCAAGATAGGGAAGCAAGGGAGAGAGCTGTAAGGCATGGCTCCCAGCCACTGGACTTTGGAAAGTGAATGATTTGGAGGGCTATTTCTAAGCCAGAGATTTTCCTTCATGATACACTTTGTTATGAACAAGTTAAAGTAACATGAATGGACTTTTTTCTGTTGACACATACCTCTTTCTTACCAAGGCAGTCATGTATACTATAGAATTAGGTGATTTGCTGATAGCAAATATTTGGGGAGAGTACAAATTTTGGAAAATTAGACAATTTTTTTGATTTGCCGGATGAATTTTGCTCTGGAGTCTATTTTGTCCTAGTCTGTCTCCTGTGTCTTCTTCTAATGTGTTTGGCCTTGCTGATCATCACCCAATGCTGTAGAGATCATCTGTCATGTGAGTGTCTTCATTTTTATGTAAGTAATGAAAATAGACTGAATAATTTTCTGGCAAGTAACTAACTTCCAATGAGAAATATCTGGACTGAACTTAGTTTTAGCAATTTCTTATTTCCTTGGCCAGCCAAAGTCTTAAAATGCCAAGTTCTTTGGTGATGCTTTTATTCTCCAGTTATGTGGAAGTGATGGCGTTTTCTTATAACTTCCAAAAGCCACATTAGCAATTTAACACTACACTGAAATAAATTTTAATTTTTTCTAAAAGTGTTTTCATATGATCCCTGAAGAGTTAGTTATTAGGCATCTACTTGCATTTTGGATGCCAGCACACAGAACCAACTGACCAGTAAAG